AAAAAAAAAAAAAAAAAAGGAAAGAAAGAAACAAAGAAAGAAAGGAAAGGAAAGAAATACCCCTTTGCCAAATTCTAACATGACTTTGCAGCTCATGTTACCTTCTTGTACAGGAAAGAATTGCATTTATACATCTGAAGACCTTTGCAAGAGGGAAGTTATTGAATTCCAAAAAAAAAAACCCCACTTGATGGGCTGGGGACCGTGGCTCATTCCTATAATCCCAGCACTTTGGGAGGCCAAGGCAGGTGGATCACTTGAGATCAAGAGTTCGAGGCCAGCCTGGCCAAGATGGTGAAACCCTGTCTTTACTAAAAATACAAAAAATTAGCCAGGTGTGGTGGTGGGCACCTGTAATCCCAGCTACCCAGGAGGCTGAGGCCAGAGAATCAGTGGAACCTGGGAGGCAGAGGTTGCAGTGAGCAGAGATAGTGCCACTGCACTCCAGCCTGGGTGACAGAGTGAGACCCCATCTCAAAAACAAAATAAAACCAAACCTGCTTGAGCAGATCAGAGCCCCACTTTCCATGGAAGATTTTTATTTATCATCAGCATCACAATTATTATATTTAATTATTATTTACAGTGTTAGGATGGAGGGATTATTCTCTTCAAATGTGGTCATAGCACAGTGGTTGAGAGCTGTGGCTCTGGAATCAAACCATCTTGGCTGAATTCTGGTTTCTCTACTCGTGCACTGGATGACCATGGGCAAATTACTTAGCTCTCTCTAAGCCTCAGTTTCCTCATCAGCAAAACGGGGATTATAGTTGTCCATAGATTACTGGGTTGTAGAACGGACAAATGACATAATCCATATAAAGTGTATAGCATTGTGTCTGATGATTATTATATGCTCAATACACATTGGCTGTTACTTGGTTATAGATCCTTTTCAAACACAGCTCCCGATCACCAGCACTGAATATGATGCATTACACTCCAACTGTGTATGTGGCATTACATTAAATATAAGGTAGCAAGAGATATAAACATGACTTCTGCTCTCCAAGGGTTTAGTCTTTCTGTTGAGAAACAGTAGATGCATTAAAAGTTACAAATCACCAAATAATCGTATGCCAAGTGCCAAATGAAAGTACAAATGCCAGATGCTTTCAACACTCAGCTCCAAGGGAGGGGTTGCAGGACTTGGAGCTAGGGGCCCGCCACAAAAGAGGCCACTGAGCCTGGGTCTTTAAGGAAGTAAGGGATGGAATGAAGTGAAGTGAAAAAGGGAATGGCATGAGCAAAGACTATGAGGATGGCTTGCTTTTGAATGAATGAGTTTGGCTGGATTTAAAGAGGAAACTTGGAGCTGGGTGGGTGGCTTGTGCCTGTAGTTACAGCTACTCCAGAGGCTGAAGCATGAGGATCACTTGAGTCCAGGAGTATGTGACCAACCCGGGCAACACAGCAAGACCTTATCTCTAAAAAACAAAAACAAATACAAATAAAGTGTATCAGCCTGGGCAACATAGTGAGAATTGTCTCTATAAATAAAAAATTGGCCAGGCATGGTCATAGCTGCCTGTGGTCCCAGCTACTTGGGAGGCTGAGGTGAGAAGATGGCTTGAGCTCAGAGGCAGTCAAGGCTTCGGTGAGCTGGGACAGTGCCACTGCACTCCAGTCTGGGAGACAGAGTGAGACCCTGTCTCAAAAATAAATAAATAAATAAATAAAAATAGGGCCAGGCGCGGTGGCTCACGCCTGTAATCCCAGCACTTTGGGAAGCCGAGGCGGGTGGATCATGAGGTCAAGAGATCGAGACCATCCTGGTCAACATGGTGAAACCCCGTCTCTACTAAAAATACAAAAAATTAGCTGGGCATTATGGCGCGTGCCTGTAATCCCAGCTACTCAGGAGGCTGAGGCAGGAGAATTGCCTGAACCCAGGAGGCGGAGGTTGCAGTGAGCCGAGATCGCGCCATTGCACTCCAGCCTGGGTAACAAGAGCGAAACTCCGTCTCAAAAAAATAAAAAGATAAAATAAAAATAAATAAATAAATATAAATAAAGTATAAACTTGATAAGTATCCTAACGACAGGGCCAGGCGTAGTGGCTCACCTGAGGTGGCCTGTAATCCCAGCACTTTGGAGGGCTGAGGCAAGTGGATCACCTGAGGTCAGGAGTTCAAGACCAACCTGGCCAACATGGCAAAACCGTGTCTCTGCTAAAAATACAAAAATTAGCTGGGCGTGGTGGCACATGTCTGTAGTCCCAGCTACTCAGGAGACTGAGGCAGGGGAATTGCTTGAAGCTGGGAGGCGGATGCTACAGTGAGCCAAAATCGCACCACTGTACTCCAGCCTAGGTGACAGAGCGAGACTCAATCTCAAAAAATAAAGAATTTGAAGACAGGACCCAGATACTTGGTCTATATGTTGTATGCTTTAGGGAAGTGTTGGAGATTTTTGAACAGCAGTATCACACATGTAAAAATATAGGTATATATGTGTGTGTGTGTGTATGTATTTTTAAGGAAGGTTAATCTAGGGGTGCTGCATAGAATGAACTGGTAGAAGAGAGACTAGAGATCAGCCGGGCATGGTGGCTCATGCCTGTAATCCCAGCACTTTGGGAGGCAGAGGCGGGTGGATCAGAAGGTCAGGAGATCAAGACCATCTTGGCCAATATGGTGAAACCCCATCTCTACTAAAAATATTTTTTAAAAATTAGCTGGGTGTGGTGGAGGGTGCCTGTAATCTCAGCTACTCGGGAAGCTGAGGCAGGAGAATCGCTTGAACCAGGGAGTTAGAGGTTGCAGTGAGCCAAGATCACACCATTGCACTCTAGCCTGGCCACAGAGCGAGACTCGGTCTAAAAAAAAGAGAAACTAGAGATCAGGTAACCAGTTAAAGGAGGGCTTAGGCCAGAATGAAGAGAAAATAATAAATTCGAGAAACATGAAAAAGTTTGATAAGTAAATGGACGTTAGGAAGGGATGGAGAAGAGTGACAGGACACCAAGCTCTAAGGCTTTGAAACTGGGTGACTGGGAGCAATCTACAGGAACAGGGTTTGGTCACCATTACCCTGAGTTCTGGTTGGAGCCCAGGTTCCCTGAGTTTAGCAGACCACTGTAAAGCCTGCTGCCACGTGCTTGGTGATGTGGTTTCATATTTATTGGGTATCTGTTATGGTGTGGGTATGGTGGGAAGTTAGTTATCCATCCTCCATCAGTCTGACATGTGTTTTGAGTAGTTGGAAATTGGTTACCCTGTACATCTTCTGTTGCCTACCTGCCTCTGTCATAACTGATCTTAGAGGCTGAGGTTTCTTTCTTTCTTTTTTTTTTTAAAGACGGGGTTTCACCATGTTGGTCAAGCTGGTCTTGGCCTCCCGACCTCAGGTGATTCGCGCGCCTTGGCCTCCAAAGTGCTTGGATTACAGGCGTGAGCCACCATGCCTGGCCAAGCTGAGGTTTCAACCTATGGAGAGCATAAATAACTCTTTGGGGAGTTAAACTTAAGGCTCAGCTCCACCCACCCAATACTTTAGCAAATGGACCAAGAAGAATGTGCCTATCCCATAGGCCCTGTCCTCTGAGACCTTAAGCTGTAAGAGGGTCTGCCGTTTGACTACCAAGTAATGAGGCAAATTTATAGGCAAATGCCTTAGGAGTCATTCCTCTCTATTTGAGGATATTCCCTTCAAAGTCATGTCACCAGGAGACTGCACTTATTCCAAAT